AATCTCGTTGGCGTTCGGACCGACAATACCAAGTGTAAGGCTTGGGCACAGCCAAGGTTCTAGCAGCCTCAGGTCCTAGTTCCCGTCCGAAACCCTGAGTCACTCGCATCCGGCCTGACAATCTGGTCAGATGAAATATGCATGTTGTCTCCTCTGCTGAGAGACCGATTTTTTATATCATGTGCTGACATATATAGACGGCAGTCGGGGACGGTGTGTGTCTCATGTTTATAAAATCTGCAAACACCAGAGGGTGTAGCTAGTTGGTTCGTAGACTCTGCTGAACATGGCTTAAAACAATTTCCTCTTGTCAGGTCCTTGCGTTGAGAGTATTGTGAGAACAGCTCTAATAGAATTCGGGTCTGTGTACATGGAATGAGAGCGAACACCTACTTGTCTGAGGAGCATCCATGGCTGCGACGGCATCACCAGGCTGTATCCGGTCAACCAGGGAGGACGACTAGCGTGGTTTAGACACCAGTGTCGTTCGCGCCATTGATGCAGTGTTGTTGTTGTTTTTGATCCGACTCCACTGCTCATTTCGCCGCAGTGAATAGCTCAACTCAAAGCTTTACCACAGCCTATTGAGACATAACCACGGCTACTGGAGCCCTGGTATTCGGTCTGTGTCCCCGAGGTGAAAATTCACTGCCGCAGGTGTCCACGCTTAGAAGGTGCATTACGCGACCTCATCGAGGTTGTATAGGTTAGGCTTGATCATAAGCTTACAATGTGCAAATACATTTCTATCAGGTACTCTAATATATATAGATAGCGGAAGTGCAAGCAGTCCGAAAACTCTCATAACATTCCTTTTGTAGACAGTAAATTTACCACACTCGGTGCTCTTCTGTATGTTCTTGAAAAAAAAATCCACCTAATCTCCACATACTTGAAGCATATAAGTTGGATGAGAATCAAGCTTTTATGATGTTCTTGTCTAGTCGAATCCTGCAGATTGCCACTTTCTATCAATTTAATCTTTGAGCCATGCCCCTATCTGCGCATGGCTCAGACTATCCTAGCATTACGTAACTCGTGTTCCAGTGATCGCATCTTCTTCTTCTTCTTCTTCTTCTTCTAAATTTAAAGTTTCTTTTTTTTCTTTTGACTCACTTATGAAAAACCCAGCAGCCTCGGTGGCATTAGCACCCACGCCAGCAAGGGGCGTATTTTAGTACAGCTAGCACTCTACCCCTACACACAAACAGCTGTGAGTTTAATCACACTTGGGTCCATTAACCCACCCAGTCTACTGCAACGTATGGAATGGTACAGAGGCCGTCGAGTTTTTCACAAGTGGGACAGTTAAATTATTAAAATCTGTCAAAATTCTCCTACTCATTAAGTTTACCTGGTAGTAATCTGCCGGATTCTAGATTGGTTGCTTAGGAAATTCTGCTTAGGAGCTGCCAACTACCAGTATCAGAATCGGTGCATTCCATATGCTGCTGTAGGCTGGGTGAGTAAATTGACTCAAGCGTCATTAAATTCATGTAGATAAACTGTGCTGTGGCTTCAAAGTCTCGAGGTTAACAGCCTGTCTGGAAGAATAACTGGGAAGTGGGTGAAAAATTGACAACCAGATTTACAGAAAATGGTTTGGTAAGTAGCGAGGTACCTTGCTTGATCCAGGAGATTTGTCTGATCTTATTAGATCGAATAGCAGTTCGATCGCATCGAAAGAAAAGAGTATAGCTTCATTGCTGGCAATGCCCCCCCATTTTTTTGAAATGGGCGTTTTCTTCAGGCGATTCGACTTAATGCATCGTATAAAGCTACTAAAACAGAAGTTTTACATTACGGGGTCTGTATGACGCTATGTCATTGATAGTGTTGCCAACTGTCGGGATAACTCGGACACCGCAGTCAGCTTAGTGTATCCTTTTGTGTGGAGTGACTTATTGCGGGTTGAGTGTCAGACTGCAATGGTTCCTGCCTAATGTGGCCTTTATGACGCTCCCGCACACGCGGGAGCCTACCTAGCAAGGTGGCGTTGTTGTGGCGCGTGTTGTAGTGTGTTCGCGCACACCGCCTGCGTCCTCCCCTATCTCCGGTCTTTTGACTATTGTCTTGACATCGGATACAGGTATGGGAGTGGTGAAAAAGTAGAGTACCGCGGCTACACTGGAGTTGGGTATCTGCATCTGATGAGACCTAATGAGGTCGGAAATACGTATAATTCAAGTCCCAATGTTTCTGCCGGTAATGCCTAAAATAACTATGTTACTGAAACGTAGTCCCAATTTCTGCCGGTAATGCCTAAAGTAGAGTACATCCTGTGAGTCTACTTTCACTATGATATAGCTATAATCATCGCGTCTGCCTTCAGGTTGCTGAAGCTCGTGGTGGACATCGTCAAGAGCGACGTCGAACTGTCGATAGTATTATTGAGACCCAAGATGTCATCGCTTTTCTCCCTGTTATAGCCAATCTGCTCGTAAAACTTCTAAATGCATGCAATATTTTCGGTCGTCTGCTGTATCTCCAAGGAGGCTAGATTAATCGCTAGCAGTTTGCAACATTTACTGTGTTGTTTCTTACGATGCACTCTTACTCATCGATGAACGTTCACTCGACCGCTAACGAAGTCCATCTGTCCCGCTGTGCCTGGGGTCTCGACAGAGGCCCCGAAAGCCGTAGCAGCTGGTAGCGTAGGCAGATAACGAGCTCGTGGCTCAATAGTTAGGGCGTTTGACTCTGATCAAAGAGATTGCGAGTTCGATACTCAGGTAGGACGCCACTTGGGTCTGGCTATGACTAGCTGACGACGGCTAATAGGCCAGAAATGGC